ATATAAACAAAACATCAGCATTAAGAAAAGATTAATCGTAATTTACAGTAGTGAGTTTACTACTTTATGTCCATTTCTAGGCTTATGATACACAAGGAAAAAATGGATTTTAGATAAACAATAAAAGAATATTTAAAAGTTTCTTGACATTCCGTATCGTTATATTGATACAGTGTGTCTTGGAAAAAATTCTGATAAAAGGATATCGCCTGTTTTTAAAAGGGCATTAGAAAACAGATTTCCAATAATTTTTCCTCTGTTTGAAGTTAATTTTACAAGTAATCATAATGTTTTGATTCGATGTGTTAATAAAATCGAGAAACATTCAAGATTTTAGAGATTATTTTTAGACATTTCAAGATTGCTTTACATCGAGAAAAAAAATCGTTACATTTTGCTTCTGTAAAGAAAAATCATTGCCGGTGTACAGTTTTAACATTTATATTAATATTCTATTTCAGTGGAGGGACAAGAAAATGCCTCCACTTGAGTTTGTTATACATCTTTGGCTTTACATGTTTATCCTTTGAAAAGTATGAATAGAAATAATATTGACGCTCCAACACAATTTATTTTACCAATTTTAAATTTCGATTCACGTTTTTGTTGGGGGTATTTGATAGCCTTAATGTTGGCTCTGTAGCGGCTACACAATACCAGCAATCGTAAACAAGCAATATACCTCGCCAGAATTGATCTTCTTCAATACATTAATGTATTGAATCGTATTGGAAAAGTATGTCAAATACAAGCTATTTAGAAGAGTGTGGTATTTTTAGACCCCCTTCTCAGGATTATAAAATTAATCTTAAAAAGATTAACGTTGTAAAATGAATTATTTCTCTTCCAGTAACAATTATGAGCAGATAGTTACTTTCTTTTGAACTGGAATAACAGATTCCTGAAGGAAACAGAAAGATGCAATATATTACCAAGGAATTAACATAACAGGTAAGTTTTGATATATATGTATCATATGCCTCCTTGGGAAAATATATTAAAATTTTGGTATAATTATATGATTAAAACACAATAAAAAAAACTTATTTTTACAAACAGTACAAACCAACTTTTCTGGCTTTTTTTTTTTTGGGGGGGGGGGTCATTTTCCTGAGTCATCGGTGTGCTGAAATTTGATTGTAGTGTGAGCAGGACGGAAGGAGGTGAGGGGGGCAATAATTGCACTGAATTATTGAATTTTGGATGTGTGAGTGTTTGTTTGAAGTGAGGGGGGTTATAAGGGTGGGGTTTTTTTTGGGGGGGGGGGGGTTCAATCATTCTCCTTAGTTCTTCGGTGTTTAAATGTGGTGCGAGTGGGACGGGAGGGGGGAGCAATTATTAATAGTTTTGAATTTTGTTTATGTTTGTGTTTGGGGGGATGTCAAAGGGGGGGGATTTCGCTATTTCGCTGAAATTATGAATGAGTTTATATGTGCCTTGGAGTGGGTGTTCTTTGTTGTTGTATTTCCTGTTAACTTGACACGGAAAAGATCTGATGAAGATGTGTTTAGGAAGTTTAGGCACCTTACGAAGATTGACCAAGTATAGTATGCAGGGCCTGATATATTGATCAATAGCCACTGCACTGCCTCGATCAATCTCTCACAGCGCCTGCTTAAACTATTATCCTCGACTCTGTAAAGGTTTACCGATGAAATTCAGTTAAAGCGCTTACATTAGTAAACACTTGTACCAAATACTGTATCGATCTGTAGAAATTGTTGAATAAGTTTAATACTTTAAAATCGGACCATCCCTGTAGATATTGCAATAAAAGTGGACAAATTTTAAATTTTAGGCTCAATTCTATGAAAACAATTGCGAGGTTGGAGTATAATGGCGGGAAAAGATAATTTTATTGATATCTTTAAAAGCAAACAAATTCAAAATACTTTATTTGTCATCTTTTGAAAGAATTGTTATGATTTCCGTTTAATTCACAAATGTTAATGCCAGCCTCATTTTTATCTTTATAGGTAAATGTTAAGTTCAAAGAGATATCGTCATTTTAGTTAGGTATCAGTTTGGCTAAATATGTCAATTGACATTTTATTCAATACACTAAATGTTACTTTTTAATTCTAATAAACCCATTAATTGCTGTAATTACCGCATTGTAATATTCTCCTTCCTCCAGCTAGGGTACAATCTTATCTTTTAGCATTTGTAACAAAATTCCAATTGCTATTGTCATTGCTATTGAAATATCAGTATTGATTAACTAAAGCATTAAATGTAAAACACATGTCAAAGAGCAATGAATTCCTCTATTTTTCTTGTTTCAGTGTTGGTTATCTCGGATCGGCGCTTCCGTTTAAATATCGCTGATATCCATCTTTGGTATAGGTCATGTTGTCTTTGTGCAACACTGTAGCGTATTGGATTGACAATGGAAGGTGTTAACACGAGCAGATTGCCTCCGATTGTGCGGTTCCAGGTCGGCGGCTTTGCCACAGAGAGGGAGCCACCGGAGCGCAGCTGGGCCAGGATCCGGACATGCCTGATCGACAATCCTCGGGACTCAGGCCAAAACAAGAGGCAGGAGGTCTGGTCGTACCACAAAAAGAACAGAGGTGTTTTAAGGTCGTTAGTGAAAAGTTTACCAAATATTCCGTTCCGAATAGGGAAGAATAAGAAAAGACGAAGCCAGTCGGATCAAGATTTGGCTTCGAAGAATGAGAAAAGTGAGTCATTTCTTCCAAAGATTTCCCCGTGTGGAATTGAATCGCCGACGAGAAATGGAAAAATACGACCCTTAGGAACGGTGAATAGAAATGACGATATCATTCCTGTAGGGAAACAGAAGAGTCAGAAGAATTTAGAAAATAGTGCAATACGATATACTTCAGAAGACAACATTAACAGTATTAGTCCTGATGAGGTGAAAGAACGCAGAAGAACGGACGACCAAGAAAAGTCGGAGAAAAGTTCCAGTAAAATAAAAATTGAATCTCGTTTGCCTAGATTGCCAGTGATAAAACAACCTCTTTGCAAATCTAGGGTGGTGTCTTTCTCTACGAACGATTTAAACAATTCTCCAAAAATAACTGACAACAAAAGTGATTCGCCGTATTCAGATGCAAGTGAGACCTCAGAAAATTCCCGAAAAAGTTTTGAAAATGTGAATTACGGGCATTCTAGTCAGCATACTACTGAACCTATACCGCGTTCGCTACTGGATATTATCAACGGTAACCATTTATCCGACGCACGAATGATGGGTGAAAGGTCAAAAAAGGAGAGAAAAACCGGAACCGTAGAGACGGCAACTTTTCCGGGAGTAGATGTGGACAAGGAGTGGTTTGAGAAGGTGCTGGGTGATAAGGAAATAATTGACATGTCTAATTACGACAACTTCGCCAGAACTCCTAGAACACGACCATTCGGGGAGTCTGTGACGAGGGGACAAAATGTTCTCAGCAGCAGTAACTATCCAGAACGGAAGCCACAGGCTGTAACTTCCCGAAGTCCCCTCAGAGTGCAGTTTGATATTCCATCTGAGGAAAAGCCCCCTGTGAAACCGGTAAACACGGCACCGGTGACGAAACTGGCGGGAGAACCGATTGCAGGGTTTCAGAGAACAACTAATTCACCCAGTTATTTCCCTTTGTTTAGTCGAGATGGATTACCTATGCGCAAAATTGGAGGTCCACCTAAAAACAAACAACAGTCGTCCAAATTAAAAATATCATTCCCCAATAGTGCTCCTGTTGAAGATAATTAAACATACTTTATACGAATTGTTGCTATTGAACTGTATAATTGTACATTTGGTATTGTTGTCTCATAAATTCTATTATATCACTGAAATCCTGTCTGTTTGATCGAGTCTGAGAAAAAAAATAGTTATTTGCGTTAGCGTCGACCAAATCTCTATGTTTTTCATAAATGCATACTCTTTTAGAGATATAATTAATCGTCGAAGAAATAGATGCTAAAAACAAATTGGTGGAAAGTGATTTTTCCGTTCTTTCCCGATCGTGACAAGCAGCACACTGCGGGTGTGACCAGTCGGCAGGGGACTGATCCCACCTCTGATGTTTTAATGAAGTTTAAACCTATTCTGTATTGTTTTATGAACTTTGATATTGAATACTGTTCGTTATCTCCATATCCTTCATATACTGGACTAGAAGTAGCATACACTGTAATGCTTACAAATTGTGATTATCAAATGAGTTTTATTGGAGCAGTCCTTTTTTTTTTGATTAAATAAAATCTGTTAGAGAAGTCAAAATAAAATCGTTGAAACACAGCAAAGCCACAGGTGCTTGAGGACAGGACCCCCCCCCCCCCAATATAGACCCCCGGGCCTGTTAGACTTTTTTCACATAAATCATATATGGATGACACATTTGTGATATAATCTATTTTGTCAATTTAGAAAATTTGCATAAATAAACATTTTATAAAAATTTCTACCCCACTCTCTCTATATGTTGATTTTTATACATAGAATTTAGGGTAGATTTTATAGAACGTTTGTTTTAGGCGATTTTTCGATTTGTTGGTATAGATCTTATCACAAATATGTCAATGAAAGATTATTTATGAGAAAAAAGTCGAAAAAGCCCAAGGGTCTATATCGAAAGGGGGGGGGGGGGATCCTGTCCTCAAGCACCTGTGAGCAAAGCTCGAAAAACAATTATTGGCTAAACATATTCGAGACGCAACAATACACAAAATTCCAAAATATTCCGTAGTTGCTTTATTTAACCATGATTCCTTGAAAAGATGTGTTTTAATAATTTATATAAATTATGATGTTATTTTTTCACCATCTTTCTGAACATTTTATTTTACGAGCAATATTTATAAAGAAGTAAAAAAAAACGGGTATGTTTGATTCATATATCTTAACTATCATAAACGTTTAAATTAAGTTACATTGTGTTTTAAATATTTTCAAACTTCTGTCCTTTTTATGAAAAGTTTCTTCATTGTTATTATAACTGAATGCACTTTAAAAAGATAAGATAAGAGAATTCTCTCAATCTAAGGAACTAAAGAGACAATATTTTAAGCAATATGTCTGGAAATTTCCTCTTCTACGCTGTGGTGTTCATCCTTCTGAATTTTGTTTGCACTCAATCCGAGGATCAGAAACGCTTACTGATAAATGATCCTCAATATTTTGAAAATCGGCTTCAGGAAATGGAATCTAAAATCCAGTCTTTGACAAGGGAAGTGGAAACTTTGAGGGCCAACAATTCTAAAGGTGCGTTTTAATTAGGATTATTCAAACTTTTTATATTTGAAAACCTATAACAAATATATTAATTAGATATCATTCCAGAAAAAAAAACTAGCTGCAATAATGTAGCCCTCTCCTATTGTTTTTAATGGAGAAGGGGGAGAGGGCTACATAATTGCAGCTAGAAAAAAAAACCTATATATAAACGGCTGCATTTCATTTCCGGAATTTTTGGTAATTATCAACTTTTCATTTCCGACATTTTTTTTTTCATTTCCGACATTTTTCAAATACATATGTAGTACCTATAGTAACAGATTTGATTACTTTATCTGAAGAATTTAAAGGAATAATCATAAATAAATCACTGCAATCCAATTCTGTAAATCTATCAGTGACTTGGACAGTGTGTATGGTGCTGACAGGTTCATATCAGAGGTACTTGCCGTTATATATTTTAAAAAATAAATAACCCTCTTCCTAATACCCCCGGTAGTTCACTATTTTTCTTATAAACTGATTATGATTATTTTTTATTATTTCTTGCTAAGGCCAGATTGTGAATATAAAGAATAAAAATAATCTGAAATTTTTTTTTTACAGAATTCTATTGCAAGAATTGCAAAGATTTCAAGCTACAAGTCGTCAAATTTATATACTTTGTATTTTTAAACAAATAACTAGTAAGCTGTAAAAGAAATATAATAACAAACATACATAAGAAAAGTTTTTTGTGTGTGTCTGGTTCCTTTAAGTAACATCAAATTGGTCTAACGAGATCGTTTCTTTGATTAACGAGACCGGGTCTAATTATTTCTACCCTAGGGATTTTGATAATTTTTCGTAAATTAATTTTTACTGTTATATTTATTGTTTTGAGATTAAAAAATCGAATGTTTACCACCCCGATGTCTTAGGGGGCATCTCAAAGGTTGTCAAATTTTACTATAGGACCGTATGGAAATTTGTTGGAAAAGAGCCAAATTATCAAATTTTTTTTCCATATTTTTTGTATTTCTGCCCTAGAGATTTCTTCTCCAGTCAAGTAGATGAAGGTTATTGTGAAAAGTCACCAATCTGTGAAATTTCAAAAAAGGTGACCATCTAGTTTTGTCTAGGTCTTAATTACAAAGTTTATTTTTTCGATGCCTACATGTATATACCAGATAGCAGGATGCTATTGGACCTTTGTTGGGCCAACAATGCTCATTATGTTGGGCCACAGTACGCATTTAACATTGGGCTAACCGTAATTTGCTCATCGGCCCTTAATCAGACCAACTTGTTGGCTTATTGTTGGGCCAATGCAACAGACAATATTGGGCCACTGTTGGGCCATTGTATTCTTTCAATATTGGGCAAGCGTCATTTTTGTACAGTTGGGGCATTGTAAGCAATTTATATTGGGCCAACGGTAATTTGCTTATTGGCCCCTAATCAGACCAACTTGTTGGCTTATTGTTGGACCAATGGAACGGATATTATTAAGCCACGGTTTGGCCAATGTATTCTTTCAATATTGGGAAAACATTGTTTTTGGGGCAACGTTGGTCGTATCTTATTAGGTCTCTATCAGGACAACTCAATTGCTATTTATTGGTTTGCCAGATGTGTATCTCATAGGATTACCATCAACAGGTAATGCATTGTAAGTAGCTCTACATTAATGAAAAAGAAAAAAATGAAATTAAATTGGAACATATTTTATTGTTCAGTTCATGAAGAAAACATTGTATATAAAGAACAAAAAGTTTATGCTCACTTGTAGCATGTACGGATATATGCATACCCCCGAATGTGCAAGTTCAGTAAATTGCAGGTATCATTAAGCACGTCTAAAAAATCAAAGTCCTCTTGTACTAAAAATAATACTAAAATGAATCCCGCCATATGGATTACATTAATAATATAATGTTTCTTGCATCTGCAACGTGTCGGTTGACGACAAATAGACACACAAAAGGGTAGAACTATAAGTATGCCACAGTATATAAAAGAAAAAAGTAAAGCACTGCCCCTTTACATCTGATCCGTCTCCTAAGTCTCCTTCTCCCTTCTTTTCTTCTATGTCCGTTTCTTCCTCCCCCATTCCTTGGCATACCTTAGTCATTCTTTGATAGTATCCTCAATGTCTTTGTTTTTTGGCGCAAAAATGTCACAGATATTACAAGTAGCCCGGATGCTATCTACCCATGATGCTCAGCCAGATATATGGCATTGGGTCAACTAAGGGCTGATGATAATCCCTCAACAAATATTCTCTCTCATTACAACACTTTTATGATATAACCCCAAAAGTTAGCCCAAGAGTGGCCCCATAAAACATCACCAACTATCAATATTCCATGTTGGACCACCGATGGCCCAATAAAGGTATACCACCAGCGATAATACAACCATAATGCAAGATTGGGCCAACGGTGTGCTGCTATCTGGTAATACCTCTAACATTACCATATTGCGGTATAAATACATTAATCGGTGCAGATAAATTATCGGGGCAGATTATTTTTTTCTTGTAAAAAAATAGCAATATTTAGATTGCTAGTTTGCTTCCTTTGATGTTCTGTTAACAGTTTATAGTATAATATCAATGGACGTCTGCGAACATATAAGCGAGTCATGTGTCATTCTTCACCGTCGTGCATTGCTTACAAAATCGGAAAACAGTGATGTCGTTAGAGCCCTTTCAGCGTTTTTTCCAAATTATTGACGAAAAATAACACTTTCATACGAGTAGGCCTGACAGATATTATTAATTTTATATTAATATCACAATATTTGTGGAAAGTGTACTGTCGCACTTATAATTAGGACGGCATGAAATTAAAAAGCTGCGTAAAAGTCATGCGCATTCGAATCAGACTCGGCCTTGTTAAGTGGCTGTACGTTAAAGCTCTGTTTTACAAAGCTAAAACTAGAGGCACTGTGAGCACTGAGTTCACTAAATGATACCCCCGCCTCCCATATGGTTATAATGACAAAGTCCATGTATTGATCTGGGAGACAGACACGAAATAAGTGTCAGATCAAAAAGTAAAATAAGAAGTGCACAATGGCATTATGTAACGAAGAATCTGTGAAAGTATCATTAAATTTTATTCAGTGGTATGGAGGAGTTGCGCATAAGACATTGGTATATATGTATCCTTCAGTATTATAGACAGAATGGCAGTGTCCATGTTTTGCTCTTGGAAACCCAAAATATGTGTCGGATCAAAAAGTGAAATAGGAGGTGCACAATGGCACTATGTAACACAGATTCGGTGAATGTTTCCTAAATTTCATTCAGTGGTAAATAATGAGTTGCGGAAAAAGAGAAGGCTATACCCAAAAGCGTAACAGACGGACGTACGGACAGACGGACAAACACACATTTGGTTATATATTGGGTACCTCAAGTCCAAGTCCTATTGGATACTGCTTATTGGATACAAAAAAAGTGTACACACGAGAGAGTATTATTTGGGTAGTTACTGTTCAAATCTTATTGGATATTAATCCTCGTGTCCGTATTTTATTGGGTTTTTCTTATTGCTTTTTATTCATTTAAATTTATTATATATTTAATATTTGCTGGTAAATTCAGACAAGACTAAAAACCTTTGGTTTTGAACTCATATTTTTGTCAATTTCTGTGATATAGCTCTTTTATTGTAACACCTAACTAATTTGTTCTTAGCAACAAGGATATACACCTGTATATTTCAAAATAACTGATATTAAAATACATGAAAACCTAAGTGCAAAAAAACTGAATTGTGAAAACACAACTCAACACATCTCAGACTCTGTTCAACCTTTCTTGAATAACAAAATTAAGTATTTAAGGAGAAACCTTTTTGAGTCATTACCAATAAGCAAATGTCCATTACATGTTGGACAGAATGAAGGTATCCAACAGGCATTGGACAGGTGTCCAATACCTGTTGGGTTGTATTTTGATGAAATGATTAAAATATCCAAGAACAATTGGACATGTGTACATTGTCCAATTCTATTTGGGTTTCTTGAATCTCCTCATCAAAATACCACCCAACAGGTAATGGACACCTGTCCAACTCCTCTTGGATATCTACATCCCACCCAACAGGAAAAGGACACTTGTCCAATTCTCTTCTTGGGTTTCTTGAAATGTTTCATCACAATACCACCCAACAGGTAATGGACATCTGTCCAACTCCTCTTGGATATCTACATCCCACCCAACAGGCAATGGACACTTGTCTAATTCTTGGGTTTCTTGAATTGCATCATCAAAATACAACCCAACAGGTAATGGACACCTGTCCAACTCCTCTTGGATATCTACAACCCACCCAACAGGTAATGGACACTTGTCCAATTCTTTTTGGGTTTCTTGAATTGTTTCATCAGAATACCACCCAACAGGTGATGGACATACGTCCAACTCCTCTTGGATATCTAAATCCGACCCAACAGGCAAATGACACTTGTCTAATTCTTGGGTTTCTTGAATCTCTTCATTAAATACAACCCAACAGGTAATGGACACCTGTCCAACTCCTCTTGGATATCTACATCCCACCCAACAGGTAATGGACAATTGTCCAATTCTTCTTCTTGGGTTTCTTGAATTGTTTCATCAGAATACCACCCAACAGATAATGGACATCCGTCCAACTCCTCTTGGATATCTACATCCCACCCAACAGGCAATGGACACTTGTCTTATTCTTGGGTTTCTTAAGAATCCCCTCATCAGAATACTACCCAACATGTAATGGACACCTGTCCGATTCCTCTTGGATATCTTCATCCCTTCAATAGTATATAAACTAAAAGGTATTGGACATTCTTCTTGGGTTACTCAAATTTTTTCATAAGAAAGAAAACCCAATAGGTATTGGACATTGGTTCAACTCTTCTTGGATATTACATCCTGACATTAGAATAAAACCCAACAGGTGATGTTTACCTGTCCAATTCTTCTTGGGTTACCTTATGCCCTTAATTAAAATTGTCAAATTTGTCTTGGATATTTTTACTCTTGCATTAGATTTCAAACCCAATAAGTATGACATTTACCTTCCCTAGTTGAATTCAAATTTATCTGCATAAACATACATAAGTCCGAAACATATTTAATACTTTAATTCTAACATTCCACATCTCATTAAGTGTACACTTTACAAATGATAGCAAATATATAAGCATTTTGTGCCTAAACTATTTGGCATTTGAAGAATTTTATAACCATGTGTGCAAAATTTAAATTTAAATATTGGAACAAGTCATTACAGGTAGAGCAAGATGCTGAAAATCATATTGATAAATAGATCACACCCTTGATAAAATATTTGCCTTCAGTTGCTAAGATTTTGTTGAATTATATGGAAAATTTCAATAATCCTATTTATTACAGATACATGTACAATGCATATTTTCCCTGCAATAATAAAAATACTTCTGAAATGTAAAAGAATGGATTAAATAGTCACCGATGTTAAAAGATATTTCATGATCTCATTAATCGGGTTTGGAAATCACAAACTTAGTTTTGAAGCCGATAAAACAGTGCCGCACCAGAAAACACAGTTACAAGTACAATGAATGAATTCATTGTATCAAAACTTTAAAATAATTGATCACTATGTCCAAATCTTTTCGACAAATCGGGATAAAGATATTAAATCAAATCATCACTGTTACAAGTCTTAGACTTAGAGCTAGAGAAAAGTCTTTACATGCCCAAATTTTACATGTAAGACTTTGATCCTACATTTCAATAAATGTCAAAATGGTTTTATTTTTGTTTCTGTTCAATACTTTCTTCTTCAGGGTCTTTTATATTGCCATATGTTTATCCAGTAGCAGTGGTTAGTCTCAGGCAATCTTTGAAATATTCCTCATTTCATGCATCTCCTTCAGTTCTGCCTCTGTCCATTTTATTCATTCTGCAATTAGATAAAGGCATTTCTTTGCCATATAAAACATGTTTTTTTTTACTACAGCAAGATCACCCTTTATGTTGATCAAACCCAAAGAAGAAGTAGAACTATATTTCTTATTCAGAAATATGTATTGATAAATAAAATGGAAGAAAAACTAAATTCTATCAACTCTTTTTTTTTCATCTATGTCTAACTGCATCTTCATCCTACCCCCTATGTCATAATTAAATCAAAATGGAATCATCATTCAACACACAAAACGATGTTGCATATTAATTAGACAGTATTTTAGTTTCTGATTGTAAAGAAGGAGATTTTAAAAAAAGATTTTACACCTATTCCTTGCAAATTTTTGACTTCTAATGTAACACTATCAGTACATTAGGGGTACATAATCTTCAAAAACATCTCTACACTTAATGATAAAGCTTTCACATTAGTATTGTTTTTAGCCCAATGGGTCTGCTAAGGAGGATTTAAATTTGACCAAAACCTTACTAACTGCTTTGAAATTATATTGACAGGGACAGAGACACACTTGACACTCCATCCCCCCTTCTTGGGGTATGCTTTGCACAAAATTTGATTAAAATTGACTAAGCTGGATAGAAGTTGAAAATATGAAAAATTACAGTCAAACAGATTATGAATAACTTTCAGCACATCAGACATGAAGTAGTGATCCTTAAAAAAATACCCCTACAAGATGAAGCTGTTTTATTCCTTTAAAGTGATATCTAGTATTGTTTCTTTTCCTGTATACCACCTCTATCAGAACAAAATGTTATATATGTATTAACATAACCTTTGACCGTATAGTACCCCAGTATTTAATTTAGAATTACCGGTAATATGGTTCTGGAACCTACCCTCAGATGCCCTTAAAACAAATGATTCTAAACTGGCAATGGTAAAGGGCATCCGAAGAATTTAAAATAAAATGATAGTACAAACAAGCAAACAGCTAGTGTGCATGAAAAGGTTTGCAAACACTAGAAAAAATACTAAGGTACTTTCTCAAACTTAACATGAATACTAAAGAGGTTTTATGTAGCTGTATTGCACATACCAAATGCTTTCCTGCAGTTAAAAGTTAGTTGCCTAGTAGTTATGTAGTATGTACAAGTTTTTCATTCTATCTCATCTAAATTAAGAAGCAAAAATGTCTCTAAAAATGTTATGGTTGGCATGAAGTATTCCTGTTCATTTTAGTGATTACTTACAATTGTCCTATTTCTGAGTGTCATCTTCTGATGGGTGTGTTCTCTGCAATGTTCACTTTTGAAGTTCCTGTTTGACCTGTTATATATTGAAAATCCTCAATGAACATAATTATGGTTTTAATTTCCATTGTTTAGCTTTTTGTGCTATCAAATTAAAGCCATCGCTGTGCAATAAAGGAAATCAAGTACTAATCCACAGCTTGGTGGCAATAAAGTTACAATCCCCGAGTAAAAAGTGACAAGCCCAAATACAGAGGCAAAAATTAAAAAGTAACATTGAAAAAAGTTCATCGTGAAAAAAAGTCAGGGTATTAACTACAGATGATTCTTTTAAAAACAAAGTTAAATTTAATTTTCGCTAGTTAAATTTAATCATATATAAATTGATGATTTAAAAAAAATATAAAAAAAAAGATTTTGAATATTCCTTTTCTGGTCATTCACTAGTTCGTCTAATTAAAACGAAGCAAAAATAATTTTGTTTTCATCTTGAATCATTTAAAGCCATATATGGCATATGTACAATGATAATTACGAGACTAAAATTATAAGAACTTATTATGTGTATCATTACTTTATATAAACATGATAAAGAAAGAAATTTTCCATAAATTACAAAATCTAAATCAATTGCGTTATAAAGATATCAAAATTTAATTTGGATTCTCAGAATTTTCTCCGACTTGGAAGAAAATACAAAAGCTTTAAAAAACACATTACAGAGAAGATAAAATCGTATTATTAGATAAAACGAGGTGTTCTCCACGCTCCGAATTGTATGATAAGCTTTAATTTAAATTATTAACTATATTTCTTTACTTAATTTTGTATTTTTCAAAAATATATTTTTGATCAGTTACGCCATATATGGCTTTAAAAAATTGCTACATAATTGCATGACACTTATCATTGAGCTGATTGAGTGGATGTATACAATTTAATGATGAGATATCTGCGAGGCATATATGTACAAGCAAATATTGCTATATTAAACAAAGGAAAGGGGGAATTCAAATTAGGAAATAAAAGATCGTTTTAAAGTCAATAAGTCTTGTAGTACTGCAAAATGGATGCAGTTGTAAAGATTTATGCATAATATTAGCATGATGTCTGAAATATTTCCATATTAGGGAATTTAATAGCAAAATACGGGTGGTGCTTTTCATGTATTACATGTGTATTTTAAAATTCCTAATAGCCCAAGGGGATTCCTCAGTGCAAAAAAAAATCACTAGCCCCATCCTCAAAAATGGAAGCCCCGGGTGTAGCGCGATGCTACATGAAATTACACACCCATCATGTGAAATAGGTATAGTAGCCCTATATCAATTTCAGTATTGTTTAAAATTAATTAAAACAAATGCCAAAAACAATAACTAAAAAATATCAAACTAAAGCAGACACTCAGTCAAAATCAAAGACAAAAAGAAGCACTGTTTTGACTGAAAGTTTTTCAGTAATACAATGAATCTCTTAAGTTACATATCAGATGAGATAAACTTACATACAATTATTTAGTTGTTGTCAATTATCCCATTTATCATCATCTCAGCTCAATTTGCGATTGTAATACTGTGTACATTAACCGATAATTTACAGCTGATTTTTGAACACACGATTGTTAAAATTTTCATTTCCCTTTTCAATATACATTGTCAGAACATACTTAGCTGGTTATGATATAAAATTAAATAATAAACACTTTCGATTTATTTAAGATTATCTAATAATATACGATCGTTTACTAAATACTTCTCGCCCTCAAGAGAGTTAAAAAGACAGAGAAAATTCAAAATACAAACAATTGCAACTCAGGATTAATTGTTCCGATATATCTATTTTAACTTTATGCACAATTGTTTTCAAAATTACATTAAAATCTATTTTCCTTAAACAAGAACCCAGCAATGGATAAATATTAATCGAATAAACTTACCTTTTCTCTTGTCAATCAGAAAATCTTGTTGACATTAAGTGTTTCTTAGTCGCCATATTTTTTTCCCATGAAAACAAACGTTGTTATGATCAGGATCAACGGAAGTTGATTTTCGGAACTCTCGAGAATTTAGAGTTCCGAATGTAAAACTGAAACAACAAAACACGGTGCGTCCGTGAAGGCAACTTTTTTAGACACTTTTTTGGACAAATCGTCGTGTCCAAGTTTTGTTGGGTACTAACCTGCAAATACACAATTAGGGTGTTTTAAGCATATTCAGCGAAACTTCTTATTGGGTATACCCAATAAGCAAAAAGTACCCAATAAGTACAATCTTGGCATGAAAAATACCCAATAAATGCACTCTCGTAAACACAGACGGACACTCCGATCACTATATACCCTCCCACTTTTCAAGCGGGAATTGATAAGGAATATATAATTTGGTTCGAAAAATTGGCGTTATGGCTCTCAAGAGATTTTTACAAAACAGGATTATACTACTAGTCATAATGTATTAAAATGTTTCAGATTTTAAATTTTTTTTTTGTTTGAACAACCAATCCTTCAACATTTAATTTCAGCCATTGGTGGGGCTACTTTCGTTTGATGGGGAAGAAAGAGTTGTCCCGACGCCGACTCGGAATTGGTATACTGGGGTGAGAAGCAAAACCTTCTAGACTAGTTTTCATCAAGTTCATTTCCTTGGGAGTCATTAAAAGACAGATTCAAAATGTAAACGTATTTTTGTCTTTAACATTGGATTGTGTATTTATAATGTACCCTATACATATCAATCAGTTCTTCCTAGGCTACACAGGCGGATCACCGTATGACCAGACAGGAAGCGCAGCGGAGTATGTCTGTCTACCACGTGACCCTACTTTTCACAATATTCTGTCCTCAGCTGGCAATTCTATGTATGGTTCAGAGTATCAACGCCAGTGGCGGATTTAAGGGGGGGCGCACCCGGCGCGCGCGCCCCCCCCTAAAATTGTCAAAGTTAGCGTAAATCAAATATGTCTACTTGGTAGAACTCATTTTTACCCTTCAAAATCTCTAGAATCCAGGAGCTTCCGGGGGCTTCGCCCCCTGGGCCCCCACCAGGGCTTTGGTAGACCTCATTTTAACCCTTCAAAATCTCTAGAATCCAGGAGCTTCCGGGGGCTTTGCCCCCTGGGCCCCCACCAGGGCTTTGCCCTGGACCCACTGGGGGCCTCAAGGCGGCCCCCAGACCCCTTGCCTAATTTTGGCGCCCCCCCTAACTCCAAATCCTGGATCCGCGCCTGAACGCAATTTTGTTTCTGGAATCTATGATGAGGATGTTCCGTGTGCCGTATGTAGAAGTTTACGTAGCACTAGTGTCATCATGCTGCCTAGTAGAGAACATTGCTACAGCGGGTGGAAGACCGAATACTCGGGTTTTTTAACTAGTGGCGCGTTAGGCCATTCGGCAGCCTCGGAGTTTGTGTGTTTGGACCGGCATCCAGAGGTCTTGGATCATAGTAGCGCTGATGAAAACGGCAAATTGTTTTACGACGTCAGCGCCAAATGTGGGAGTTTACCGTGCCCTCCTTACAAACATGGACAACAACTGTACTGTAGCGTGTGCTCCAAATAAAGAACTGAATGAGATCTGTCTAAAAATCGACGACAGGGAATAAAAGGTCTCTTAAATAAAATACTTGTGTTAAAGCAAACTCTATCTTTAAAAAAAACAAGATGTGTTTGTGAAACACTATGCGCCCGGCGGCAACAAAGTTACAAAACTATTTTTAGCATGTAGGCCACAGTTCAAGGTCACAAGGTCATTGATCTTAATGTTATTTGAAAGAACTTTATTAGTGGAGTATGCATACCAAATATGAAGCCTATATCTCCTATGGTTCAAAAGTTATGGCGAATGTTAGAAAATAGCTATTTTTAGTATTATGGTCACAGTCAAGGTCACAAGGTCAATGACTTTGATGTCATTTGTATGAGCTTAATTTAGTGAAGTATGCATACCAAATATGAAGTCTCTATCTCCTATGGTTCGAAAGTTATTGCAAAAGTTTGAAAAAGCTATTTTTAGCATGTAGGTCACAGTCAAGGTCACAAGGTCATTGACCTTGGTGTTTTTTGAAAGAACCTTATTAGTGGAGTATACATACCAAATATGAAGTCTCCATATCTCAAGGTTCAAAAGTTATAGCGAAGGTTAAAGTTTTCAACAGACCGGACAAAAATAATATACATTGTACGCCTCGGATCTATCGATCTGAGTGCATAAAAAGAATACATTTATGCTTTTTTCAGAGTCCAACTTTTTCGATTTCGATAATTTTCGACGACATTAATCAGACAATTGATATCCTTAAACCTGTAAATATTTTACTGTTTTTATTTTTATAAAACCAATAGGAACAACTGATTATTATGATGAACACATAAATTGACTCAAAACACGAATAAAATTATTGATAATAATTCATAATATCTATATGTCGGAAAACATATACCTTCTTCCAAATTTTAAAAAATGAATTAAAGAGGTATCTGTATTTACAGACTGACAAAGTTAAAGGTCAGTGGCCATTATTTCAAAAAAATCTTTAAGTTACGACTTAGACAAAAATGTTCCCATTCCTCATCAAGTTCGGAAAATCAACTTTTATTCGCGTGCGAGAAATTTTCCAAAGTTAGCGAGAGCGTCATCGCGAATATTTCTCGCCGCGAACCGGTCCTTAAAGTGTATGTGTCTATTAACAACATACCCAAACAGTTTTTGATAACGAAAATTAATCGTCGCGAACTAGTTTATCACTGGTAAATCGCAAAATAAAGTAGTCACGAATAAAAGTTGGTTTACAGTAATTAAACTGTGGTAGACATAAAAAAAATTCTTATATTTCTATAACACTAAGCAACTTAGTGAAACTTAAGAAAAAAATATTTATTTTATTATACAAAAATTAAAGAAATGTCAATCTTTTTAGAACTGACTTTTTGTGAAAAGGACCACTAATCCCCATCCTCATGTAGATACATCGAAAGGCGAAAGGTCAGCCCTTGTATAAATTATCCACAAAAAAGTAAAAAGTAAAGATTTTGCAAAAAGACCTTTCGCCTGTTACGTACGATTGGCTGTCCCTTTTTGCGTAACCAAAAGGGACCTGTCGATAATAGTTTCATCACACTCATACAAACACCCTCACCGCATTTTTCAGGTGAGAAGTTCACCCAGCAACCCTTATATTTTTATCCTTTGCAAGCAAGTAAACATCCCCTCGTATACTACTTTCCCCACAAAACACCAGTTTCTATTACTATCTATTTTTACACCCCCCGCGGGAGGGTATATAGTAATCGGTATGTCCGTCCGTCCGTCTGTTACACTTTGGGGTACCCATGCATCTCATCCGCAACTCCTCTCATACCACTGAATGAAATTTGATGAAACTTTTAAAGAATCTTTATTACATATTGCCATTGTGCACCTCCTATTTTACTTTTTGATCCGACACATATTTTGGGTTTCCCACAGCAAAACATAGACACTGTTCTTGTATTCATATGGGAGGCGTGGGGTATCATTTAGTGAGCTTATTGCTCACAGTACCTCTAGTTTATGCAACTGTTGTTATGATAATTGCATTATTTGTCCGTTTACTTGCTGAATTGTTTATTATTAGCTAAGTGAGGTGTTTTGGCTAAAATTCCAGTTGAAAATAGATACTAAACACGCTATTTTTGGAGAACTTGACCTCTTCAAATACCTAAATTACGGTACAGATTCTTTCATAAATCCCCATGAATAATACTTTCGTTCCAGATGCCGTAAAACTGGCGTCTGAAAAATGCCAGATTTTTGCAAAGTTGGGAAAGATTAAGTACAGACCATTACGTTATTCATCTGCACGGACAACAGACATTTCTGTGCACACCCTATTGAGATGATCACCGATTTTGACGGACGAAACGTTGTTTAAAGAAAACCAACGCAAATGCACCTAATACATGACCCAGAGAAGTAATCTATAATGATGCTATACAGGGAAACAATATATCGGTTTCTATGCGTTTTATTTCTTTACTCCAACTGACTCGTCGGTTTAACAAGTAGCACGTTCCCATAGTATAATTATACCATCGGTTGAAAAATTTATTTCAAAAACAATTTCCTGCGGTACAGAATCCTATGCTGTATTCTTTAAAGCAATTATGTAGGGATAAAAAGAAAGTTCACAGTATGTCCCGAATTTTTTTTAACTCGGATTAAAGCGAACCAATGGCCTGTAGTCCTGAAAAATGTTGCCCATGAAATCACAGTGCATCACACACTATATAATTATTCAATTAGATAAACAATGTACATGTAATGAGGTTTTATATGACTATCTTATATTAAACATATTTTTAATTTCTTCTCTATCTTTTAAGTTCCTTCTGCCATCATAATTAAATTACTGAGTATTTGTTCTTGAATAAACAGACTTAAGATTCGCTACATGTACAGATTGTCCATGGTCAAACAATAATGCCATGTGCACTTCAGAGTGATAAGATAAGGACAACTGCGACACTCTTTGGAACAACAAAATTATGAGGCGATTTTTCGTTTTCTTTGGAGTTGTGTTCACCCTTCTATTTTGCACAGCATCGATGGAACAGAAACGACTACTTATTAATGATCCACAATTGCTCGAAAGCAGGCTTCAGGCAATGGAATCTAAAATTCAGTCTTTGACGACCACGAAGGCGGAAATGGAATCGAAAATCCAAACTTTGACAGCATCAAAGGCGGAAATGGAATCTAAAATCCAAACTTTAACAAGGGAAGTTGAGACCTTAAAGGTCAACAATTCTAAAGGTATGGTAACCTGAAATAAAGCATTTGATCGAGAAATAACATCTGAAACGAGCACTGAGTGGAACCAGACGTTACTCAATTTATATTTTTTTCTTATTTAAAAAATTTACCCCATACCTAATCGTGTATTGTCAGGGTATTTTTTTTTTAAAAGAAAAATACCCCGGTACTAGTAAGTAACACCAGATGCCTATATGGATATGAGTTCTACTTATTTTTATATAAATTGATATAGCGTATTTTTGATTAAGGAAAATGGTCTTTCTATTTGTATTAATTTCCTTTTTATTTCCTCTAAAAGACCAATATAATAAGTTGTAAAATTGAAAATGTTCTCATGTTAGATTAATTTTGTCCAAATCTTGGTGCCTTGGACCATGTGTGATTCATTATAGTTCTCGTGTTAACTAAACTAATTGTATCTTAGAAAAAGCTTTTTACACTCAGATTTCCGTTTAGATATATTTCTATTTATTCCAAATTACATTGTAGTTGAAATAATGCCAAAGACTACGCTATGATCCCTCAAGATGGTTTTTTTTAATTCTTTACAGTCGTTGGTGGTGCTACTTATGTTCGTTGGGGGAGAAAGACCTGCCCTGACGCAGACTCAGAATTGGTGTATTGGGGTAAGATGCACTCTCTGTTTCATTTTCAATTCGGTTCTTATTCACAACAGCCATTAAGGACATATGCAACATAGGTTTAACTTTTTTTTCATATTCCATGAATCATTTGATAGTTACAATAATTGAGGGACCTTTGTACAATTTTACGATGCCAGATAATGCTGTACTCCTTTTGTGATTTAGAGTTCGGAGCTATAATTTTTTCACCCAATTTTCCTTCAAAAAACGTGTATTTTCTTAATTTGATATCTGTTCAAAACTCCTGAAAATTTATGCTGAAATTATTTTGTCGTCGAACATGAGATGGTATGACGATTTTAAACTTAAAATAACGCAAGTAATTGTCAGTGGGAAAGATAATTTCTTTTTTAAGTACATGTACATGAACGTTGGATATGTTCTTAAAAGTGGAATGAAGAATGCCTCAAATTCATTATTTTTGTTAAATGCTCGTTAATTTTGTTAAATACTCCAACTGAATTGTCAGTATTAATTATAGGTTATACAGGAGGATCGTCGTATAACCAGACTGGAGGGGCTGCGGAGTATGTCTGTCTACCACGTGACCCTACCTTCCACAATATCCTGTCCTCTTACAGCTCCATGTACGGTTCAGAGTATGAACGCAGTTTCGTTTCTGGAATCCATGATGACGATGTGCCGTGTGCTGTCTGTAGAAGTTTACTTAGTACTAGTGTCATCATGCTGTCTAGTAGAGAACATTGCTACAGCGGATGGAAGACCGAGTACTCGGGGTTTCTAGCAAGTGGCGCGATAGTCCATTCAGCAGCAACACAGTTTGTTTGTTTAGACAGGCATCCAGAAGTTTTGGATCACAGCAGCACAAATGAAAATGGCAAACTGTTTTACTCCGTCAACGCTAAATGTGGGAGTTTACCGTGTCCTCCTTACAAACATAATCAACAGCTGTACTGTAGCGTGTGTTCTAAGTAATAAAGGACTCTACAACAGGCTGTAGTTTTTTTTCCCCTTGATATGGTAAAAGTGAAAGTTCAATCATAGAGAAAGAAATAAAAAACAATAAAGTTTTTAGCTCACCTAAGCCGAAGGCTCAAGTGAGCTTTTTCTGATCAAAATTTTGTCCGTTGTTTGTCGTTACATAAACTTTTCACGTTTTCACATTTTTATCTTCTTCTCAAGAACCACTGGGCCAATTTCCACCAAACTTGCTACAAAGTATCCTTGAGTAAAGGGGATTCAAGTTTGTTCAAATGAAGGGTCCCGCCCTCATTCAAGGGGAGATAATTATGAATAAGTGAAAAATTAATGGCATTTAAAAAAAATCTTCTTCTTAAGAACCACTGGGCCGGAAAGATGAAACTCATGTGGAGTCATCCTCAGGTAGTGTAGATTTAAATTATGACCCCTGGGGTAGGTTGGGGCCACAGTTGCCGGTCAAATGAATACATAGGAGGATATAGGAAAAATCTTCTTCTCAAGAACCATTGAGACAGGAAATATGAAACTCATGTAAAAGCATCCTCAGTTTGTGTAGATTTAAATTTGTTCAAATCATGACCCCCAGGGGTAGGGTGGGGACACAACAGCCGATGAAAGTTTTACATAGGAATGTATAGGAAAAATCTTTAGAAATAGTCTTCCCAAGATCCATTGAGACAGGAAAGATGAGACTCATGTAAAATCATCCTCAGATAGTGTAGATTATAGTTTGTTCAAATCATGACCCCCGGGGGTAGGGTGGGGCCACAATGGCCGATCAAAATTCTACAAAGGAATACATAGAAAAAATCTTTAAAAATCTACTTCTCAAGATACATAGGGACAGGAAAGACGAAGCTCATGTTGAATCATCCTCAGGTAGTGTAGATTCAAATTTGTTCAAATCATGAGCCCCGGGGGTAGGGTGGGGCTACAATGACTGATCAAAGTTTTACATAGGAATATATATAGGGAAATCTTTTAAAATCTTTTCTCAAGTACTGCAAAGCCATGATT